ATAAAGTTGAGGGACCAAATTAAGCATTTAACCATGAATAATTGTCTAGATTACACAACTGAAGAGATTGACTACATTAGTTACTAGTTTTTGAATTCAAGAAGTTCAATCTTTGTGCTTAAAGCTCTCACCTTGTCTCCATCAGCACTTTGCATCTGAGCATGAATACAAAACTAAACTTGCAAAAAAAAAAAAGAAAAAGCAAAGACTTGGTAGCTCTTTTATCTCCATCTTGAAATTCATCCAATTTAAATGAAATAATACTAGACAAGAATTTTTGGCCTTAGCTTCTGAAATTATTAGAAAGTAAATAAAATGAAAAGAAGAGGTAGAATGTATGGAACAGCTTGTCAAGATAGGGGGAATGATGATCAACAAACAAAAAAACAATCTTCAAGGACTATCTTGAACAGTTCTGAAACATTAGTCCAAACTAAAAGAAATATTTTTTAACAACTGCTAAATGGTCTAAACTCTAAAATAGAAACATATAATCACCCTACCCGAAATGGTTCTTAAACTTTCTTTTGTGCTCAAATCCGTCCTTCATCTCTTTAATCCTACGTTAACCACTCATAGCAGCAGTCGTAGTCGCAGCCATAGAAATTCCCATGCCCAGACTCCCATACTTCTCAGCAGCAACAACCCATCTAAGATCATTGTTCTGCGTTCAGTCAAAACCCATCTCGTCAACATGTTCTTCCCCTTTCAGCACTCTTGCAGTGCCAACACATGACCACATTGCCCGTCTGATACTAGACCAAAAATCACCGTCCCAAGCTCTGCAAACCTTCAAATGGGCTTCGGAGCTCTCCAATTTCACCCACTCTCAATCCACCTACTGCGCTTTGATACACAAGCTCTGCACTTTCCGTCGCTTTGACACTGTCCAGGACCTGCTCGACGAAATGCCTGGCTCAATTGGGATGCCCCCGGATGAAGATATTTTCGTCACAATTGTTCGGGGCCTTGGTCGTGCTCGTATGATACGAGATGTGATCAAGGTTCTTGATTTGGTGTCTAAATTCGATAAGACTCCTTCTTTGAAGATTTTTAACTCCATTCTTGATGTTCTAGTTAAGGAAAATATTGATTTGGCCAGGGAGTTTTACAGGAAGAAGATGATGGCAACTGGTGTGCAAGGTGATGATTACACCTTTGGGATCTTGATGAAGGGTCTTTGCTTGACTAATAGAATTGGTGATGGTTTTAAGCTTTTGCAAGTCATGAAGTCTAGAGGTATAACACCAAATACTGTGATCTATAACACTTTAATTCATGCTCTCTGCAAGAACGGGAAAGTTGGGAGGGCGAGAAGCTTGATGAATGAGATCCGGGAGCCTAATGATGTTACTTTTAATATCTTGATATCTGCTTATTGTAAAGAAGAGAATTTAGTTCAAGCTTTTGTGTTGTTAGAGAAGAGTTTCAACATGGGGTTTGTACCTGATGTCATCACCGTTACTAAGGTGCTGGAAATTCTATGCAATGCAGGCCGTGTAACTGAGGCTGTTGAGATTTTAGAGAGAGTTGAGGGGAAGGGAGGAAGGGTTGATGTTGTAGCTTATAACACTTTACTAAAAGGTTATTGTAGATTGGGGAAGGTCAAAGTTGCACATCTCATTCTAAAGGAGATGGAGTGTAAAGGCTGCCTTCCTAATGTGGACACTTATAATTCCTTGATCTCTGGTTTCTCTGGGTCTGGGATGTTGGATTCAGCTCTGGATATGTTCAATGATATGAAGACAGATGGGATCAGCTGGAACTTTGTTACCTATGATACATTAATCAAAGGGTTGTGCTCAGCAGGGAGGATGGAAGATGGGTTTAAGATATTAGAGCTGATGGAGGAGAGTAAGGGACGTTCTGTGGGACATATTAGCCCCTATAACAGTGTGTTATATGGTTTATACAAGGAGAACCGTTTAGAAGAAGCACTGGAGTTCCTTTCTGAGATGGATAAATTATTTCCTAGGGCTGTTGATAGGAGCTTTAGAATACTTAAATTTTGCAAGGAAGGCAGTATTGAGAATGCAAAGAGAATTTATGATCAGATGACCGGGGAAGGAGGAAGTCCAAGTGCTCTAGTTTATGATTGCTTAATCAATGGATATTGCCAAGAAGGGTGTATGTGGGAAGCTATCGACCTGATGAATGAGATGGTTGGTTGTGGTTATTACCCTGTTTCATCCACATTCAATGCCTTAATTAGTGGGTTTTGCAGGCAAGGTAAAATCTGTAGTGCTCTAAAGCTAAAAGAGGACATGGTCAGCAGAGGTTGCATACCTGATGTAAGGAGCTATGGTGAACTGATTGATGCTTTTTGTAAGGAAGGGGATTCTCAGATGGCTTTAGAGCTCTTGTTCCAAATGGTTGAAAAAGATATCATCCCTGATTATTCAACATGGAATTCCTTGCTCCTCTGTCTCAGTCAAGAACGAGCATGGTTACAGAACAAGACCATGTCCCTTGTACATAATCTATTACAACGGATTACTGAGGCATGAATTATTGGCAAGGTTGAGTCCACTTCTTCAGAATCAGAACGGTATTTGGATGTTAGCATCAGCAAGGCAGAGCCGCCAAACTTCTATGTTGAACATTCAGTCTTAACATATGATGGAGGATATGCTGCATTTAGAACTGGCTCAGCCCACAGAATTGAAACCTAAGGGTAAAAGGAAATGGTCAAAGTTGCATTGTGCTGAAAGTCCATAGCTTCGCCAGATTTTGATCTGGCAATCTAGTTTTCAAAATATTGTCTCTTGAAGGCACGTAGAACTTTCCAGCGAGAACTACAGCCGAAGAAGAAGCATGATTTTTGTAAGTAATCCAGCATCATGATTCATTACTTCAATTTTATGTGCAAATGGAACTGGAAATCCAATACTCATTGATAATGAGAATTGAGTATCATTAACATTTTTGTTCTCAATGATAATGTTACAGAAGCGAAATATCTCATGACATCTTAATTTGCAGCAAAAGAAAGGTGTCTCTATCAAATGGTCCACAAAAGAGGTTATGTCTCCACAGCTTATCCGGAAGCTGATAATTTCACCCACAGATTTTGATTGAGCTAATGCTAGTTATTAGACAAATCCAGCTCCGTGCTTAAGTTGTTCCACCGTCCAACAAAATCAACACAAACGCATTCCCTTGTACCGTCCATTCTCTAGCATGTAGTTTGGAAAAAAAAGGAAAATATCTTACCTTTTATCATATTATCACATTATTTTTTTATGTTAGAGATATCTTTTCAAAGTTGCCTTGTTTTTTTTGTTATTGTTTTCAAGATTGATGTCGATTTCAATTTGGGTTTTTTTTGACTAGATGAATTTTTTATTGTTATACACCCTTTAGTCTTATAATTGTTTTATTTTATTTATTTATAGTAATTATTGAGAAATTTATTTATTGTAATAATTAAGATTTTTTTATTTACACATTTACTTATAACTAAATAAAATAATTTAAATTTATTTTTATTGCTTTTAAAAAAAATATAAAATTAAAATACTAACATTTAGCATCTTATTTAATAGAAAGTGAGGGTATTTGGTATTATAGCACTTTTAAATATGAGTGGTCTGATTTAATTAGTAAGTGTATATGCTATTATGGTATTTTTTTAAATATTGGTGATTTGATTTAGTTATTTTATTTTTTATTTTAATGAGGTATTATATGTTAGTATTTTAATTTAGATATTTCTAATATGAACTCTTA